GTTTCACTAAAGCCCACCATTTGATGCGCGCGGTTGCGTGCGGAGCTAAACTGGTAATAATAAAACCATGAGAATTAATTATGTAGAGGCAGTTAAGTGAATACGTTTTTATTTCCCTACAATGGGACTAAGAAGTGAAGTCTACTTATAAAGAATTAAAAAAAATTTATATCACAAAAGGAACAACCACGAAAAGGTCATGAAACTCTCGTTCTCGTGGGAACGTATGGCATGTCATATTGTCACATTCTGTTTAGCAGGTGTTCAAACTTTTTAGGGAACCTTTTCGCGAGATGCATGCCAGGCTCAGATGCTGTTGTAGAAAGCTGATCCCTGTACAAGATTCGCAGTTGCTGAGCTATAGAATCTTTGAAACAATGCATGGGTAACGAATTATACCTGCAATTTTTGCACACAGCCTGCAGAATTCAATGATATTTCGGAATGCTCGCTGTTACGGGGTAGGGCACTTTTGGCAGAGTACAAAGCATGTGCGCGTCCTTTGTTTATGCAAATTTAACCCATTGCGGACCGCGTGCTGCACCATGTGCAGCACGCCACCACGCGGAGAAGGATAGTAATCTTCGATTTTTTCAGCATTTTGCTAAGTTACAAAATCAGCAGTTTACTTTTTCAGACACAGGATATATCAAGTACTTGCGTACTGGTTAAATTTTCGATAGATTATTGGCCACTGATAAAAGAGATGACAAAAACCTACGGAGGTGCAATTATAACGGCGGTCCGCAATGGGTTAATTGTAGCTGCTTCTGCATCATCTGTGAACTTTTGGCTTTGCCACAAGCAAATCGTCCAGTATGCGGTAGTGGTGAACATGTAGACGATCGCAATCCAGTCGTCATTCCACAAGCTAGAGCTGATTATTAGCCTACAATTATTGAATTTGCTCTTGGGCATCTAGTTACAATACGGGGATTAGGAGTTGAGTGACAACAATACTGTAAACGTTGATGCCTGGCTTCCGATTTCACTGGTGCATATACGTATAGTGCTCCGCATAATTGTACATCCACTTGTGTTTGCAAAAACTGTCCATCTAAGGTATGTTGGAAAATTTCCAAATGGAAAGTGTACTAGGTATAAATGCAACATCGCACATCGTAACTAAATTCCGAGTTGGAAGAATGAAGAATTATATCAGGTTGTCGGAAAGTTCTTTGGCCATTTGGATCTGCATGTTGTAAAATCTTCAGGATAATTTTTGAACATTTATTGCAAAACGTATGTAAACCCTAGTCAATGATCTCTTTATAGCATTTCTGTCGTGGTTTCTCACAGCGATTATAGCTGAGAAAATCGTTTTTGACTGAAAGCAGGCTGCTCATGCTTCTAAAACCCAGAAAACGCGTCAATGGAAGCGATGCGGCAAGAGCTCACGTCTTGCGATGGAACCCCAGAGTGTCTTTCACGACATGGTAAACATTTGGTTGCCGAAGTCCAGAAACTCGAGAAAAATGCACAAATTCTTTTGGCCTGTTCCTCTGAATGACGAGTGTCTTCTGGAGCTGTTTGGAAACAGTCACGGAGCAATGCTCGGGAACTGACGCAGCTTTTTCGGAGTTTTCAGAACACAATAGCTGTTCCTCAATATCTTCTCCAAAAGGCGAGAAATCTGGAAAAAGGAGGTTCCGTGACGTTGGTGACAACCAGACTTTTTCACTTTTGTACTTCTTAAACGAATTTTTGCGGTGGGCGGTGGGGTAGCAGGGCTTTTTTATGAACAGTTTTGGGGAGAATTAAACAACCTTTTCATAGTTCGGTCTTCATGACTTCGGCCTCTGGCGGAGGGAGGGGGTGCCGTATTTTCAAATTTTCCTCGACGCCTCGCTTGACCCTGGTCACGAATAGGAATTTATATGTAGCCTTACTCTGTCAGCAAGCTGTCAAAAGTCGGAGCGAGCCACCCTGGATCCTTCTATTTTATAATCCGCTAACTTGGTGTGTCGTCTTGTGTGTATGTATGTCTCAAAATCGGATTAGGCGTGGCCATGGATTTGACGTGCGTTTGATGGGGTCCAATCTGGTTAGTTAACAAAGAAATTTGTACCAATCACTAGTCAGCGCGCAGCATCCGAAAAGTAATTTTTGTGTGTCACTCTTGATACTTGTGCTAATGGTTTCAGTGTGTTCCTGAATTATTATCGCACAAAACATAAGCGAACAAACGATGACAATTGGGGATTCTATCAGTCGAAAACCAATCAGAGGCGACGCGGCGTTCCACGACAGTGTTGGAGATTCCATCCCCAGTTTTCTGACCACTAGCATGGTGCAGAAGCGGCATTGGAAAAAAACGACATCGCACTCGATGCTGTAGAAGGCGACTTTCAATAATTCGTTACAGCAAAAAATTATGCCCTGTAAATAGTAACGATTATAGAACTATTTCAAAATTTGATTTAAGCGGAGATGTTGTGGTGGTAAGAGGGGCTACTGCGCGCATGCTACCTGGATCGAATCCCTTTTCGAACAACGTACGTCAGCCAAGTTTCTATAGATGATTAGCTATAGTGGGCGTGATAGATGATACTACGCAAAACACGTCGATAACATAATTCCAAAAATATCGTAGTCTAAGGGTTAAGCACGCTTAACCTTTGATGGTACCTTTGATGAGAGTTTTACCCAATATCTTCTTTTCAGGCGAGGAGTGGATGTATGGCAACTACTTTAAAATTAGGTGTGGTTCCTTTGGTAAAAAGGAATTCCTGGGTTGTGTAGTTGATGGAGTACTACACAAGGACGGAGAAGTATTCAAGGTAAGTAAAATTCTCTGCTAGATGTTACTCATATGTGAATGTGATGGTTTCTATCGCCTTTTGAACGGTATTATCTGCTTGACGGCACCTTTCATGCTCACTTGGAAACAGATTCTGCCACGCAATTGAAAGAGGAGCACTTGGAGAGTTCTCACTCCTCTACACCAAGCGTTGCCGTGTCCGTTATCAAGTGAAATGTGCCTTCGTGGTGAATAAATTTTTTGAGAGCCAAAATTTTTGGGTGAAAGTATAAGACTGGAAGGGGCGCTTCATTGTCTCTCCAGAAGTCAAGGATGATAGCGCTCATGACACGCAATCGCATTAAAGGCAAAGGTCGGGCTCAGGCACGCTAGAGAAGTAATTCCCGTGCCTGGAGGTTGTATGTGGGTAGCTGCACACATTGCAGCAACTTCCCACCTTGAAAAACCCCGTTAAGGCCCCGGGGCGTTCGGTTTCAATCCAGGGCCGCCTGGTCAATCCAGGACCGCCCACCTCCGGAAGTGGTGCGTGGCTGGCATAACGTGTGAAATCAGCTAGGTTGATTGCCGTATCAACCGATAGAACGACTGACATCTCCAGAAAACTTGTTTGTACGTGCCTCTTTCCCCAAGCCAGCCTCCTTGCTAGTGGGAAAGAGGGTTTTGTTAACGGCCTTGTCGACGGTTTTTCTCAGTTTTTTCTCCACTGTCGTTCCACTTCGCATCTCTATACTCAGTTTCAATCGCCATAATACCCCCTTATTGAGCCCGACTTTTGCCTTTAAAGTATACCTCTAATAATTATCGATGTAGTGTGAAGGAAACCCTGAGTTGCCCTTCCACATTTACGCCTGCCATGGTCCAAGGGAACGGTCCTGGACCAGGAGAAATGGACACCTCGCCTGGGCTAAGGGTGCAGGAGCTCCAGGGTGGATCACCTGTGCAGAAAAGTGGATGGGATGTGGGCAGGTAGTGTGGAATGTAGGACATCCACCGGTCCTTATCAAAAGTACGCTCGAAATGAGTCGTTCACTTATTATCTTATCCATAGTGTTCGATAGCCCAAAGAAGTGCTCTCTAGTACTACGGATAAGATAGCAATGGAGTGGCCCCCACCGAAGTGGAGTTTCGCCAAATTTTGTTCATTACAGACTCAGGGCCAAGCAACGAAATGCTGGTTAGAAAAAACGGCAAATGGAGTGGAGTATAGGTTGGGCCCGGCGCCCGGTGCTTGAATGAATAAATTTTTGGTTTTTCGGCTTTCTCTTATTTTTCTATCGCAGTATTTCAGCACTCTTCCCGTCAAGGCTGAAATATACATACAGATATAGAATGTGTACAGAATAGGCACATATACGATATAGAATAGTGTGCCATATATGGAACTAAATAGAGCTATTGAACAATTAAGTAAAAACATGAATGAATGCCTGAACTTGCTTTTTTGCTCCTTTTTTGAAAAATGGATTTCATATGACAGTGAAAAGTATTTGGTGAAGAAAGATTGCGGAGTGGTCATCACGACCCACTCGTTAATTCGTTTTCTACCCGACGATGGGACGAAGAATGGCAACGTCGAAATTTTTCTCAAAGGAAGTGATCATGCGTGAGCCTGCTACCCTCACATTATAATCTGTGAGGTCTGACGAGGAATGGTCAATTGGTCAGTCCAGGCGTTTCGAATAAGCAGTCTTTTGGAGGCGTCTTGCGACGCTGAGCTCAAATCCGTTTTCGTTATCTGCGGAACGATTCTCTGAAAGAAGTTACGAGGGATTCTTCTCTTTGTGGCTTTCTCACTGTGGCACCCTCTACATACCCTAAAGATCTTTGTTGCTGTTCACACTGCGAAAAGCTGTTTTGTCTCGACTATTCTGTGAGGGACTATCACATGTACGTATACGTCGATATCCGAAAGTTGGGGTAGGTGTGTCATCGGAAATGACGTGGTCGCCGCACTTGATAAAAGCTATGTGGATAAGCTGCTTCCAACATATCGCTGGATATCAGCAAAGCATGCTGGCAACAGCTTATCCACGCACTTCTATCAAGTGCACGTCACTTCCGGTGACACACCTACCCCAACTTTCGGATATCGACTGTAAGTTATTGAAATTTTGTATATTTATAAGCCTGTGTCCTTGTGTTTTGTTCCGTGTGTCAAAGTTCATCATAATAGAAAACCTAAAAAGAGGACGAGGAAATTCCAAAGTCTGTCTCAGCCATATGTCAAGTGGGGACGCAAATCAACAAAATAACCAAATATAAACACTTTTGGGCTCGTATGAGAAGCCATGAAAAAATGCAAAAGCCTTGCGCTTCCCAAGGATCCGATCATGTGACCTCTCTCACATGAATCTAGGGAGATATCCACTAGTCCATATGTCCATCTTTCTGGCTCTTCTTATGCGAAATGTGGGGGTAGGGGAATGTAGAGGATGCCACAGTGAAAAAGCCATAGTGAGAAGATTCCCTCGTAACTTCTTTCAGAGAATCGTTCCGCAGATAACGAAAACGGATTTGAGCTCAGCGTCGCAAGGCGTGTCCATCGGACTACATCTCATTATGTACTCGATATCGGTGAGTTGGGGTGGGCGTGTCACCGGAAGTGACGTGCACTTGATAGAAACTATGTGGATAAGCTGCTTCCAACATACATCGCTGGATATCAGCAAAGCATGCTGGCAACAGCTTATCCACGCAACTTCTATCAAGTGCACGTCACTTCCGGTGACACACCTACCCCAACTTTCGGATATCGACTGTAGATGGCCGGACTGACCAGTTGAGCATTCCTTGTGAGATAGAGATAAGAAGATACGGCTGTTGGAGTGAGGTGCTAATTCAGAATGAAGAATCCGGCGATAACGATAACGGTATCATATCTAGCACGCTGCTACTGCAATCCCTTCCACATCGACACGGATTTGTTTTTGCTGCCCGGAAGTGGATCTCGGCTCCAATACGTAACTTTCCTTGTCTTCTCCACAGGAGTATCGTGTTCATTTCCTTTAAGTACTTGTGACATTTCCACCACCACTACCCTCATTTGTGAGAGCTTCGACTCCTCATAAGTGTGTTCTTAAGCCACCATAGCACGCATCTATGCTTTCTATGGTTAGTCAATAAGGTTCTAGGTTTGTCAATAATTTCAGTGATGAATAACACTCAATGTTGAAAAATTTTCTCGAGAGGTGCGAAAATTTCGCTATATGTTCGCTGACTTGGGATCCACTTTCGCGACTTCGGTCAAACAATTAGCTCATTGTCTCCTTACATGTTATGGCTTTTATATTTTGATTTTGCGAGAGGCTCCTCATGCCGTGTTTTTCAAGAGTACCGCATGGGATATTCCGCAGGTGACATTAGGGATCAACCAGAAGTGCGAGAGAACGCTCTCTGAAGAGGAACCGGGATAGACCTAAAATCGATCTCTGCCCCAGCAACTCTGCTGCGGTAAGGGGCAATGTTAACATCTCAAGAAGCTCGCGAATATTCGGAAATATTGAGTTGCATTCCATAAGCCTTGAGCCCAAATTACATAATGGGCCAAAATTATGGTAAACGCGAGTGCACTGAGTCAAGCCCATTTTACTCAGTCTCTACGTGTTCGTACTTCTTTATATGAGTAGCATGAAAGGGTACAATTTCTTACTCCCAGTAAACATAAAGCAGTCCTGAAAGTAATGAAAACATAGCATTGCGACATGCCCATCCCCAGATTGAATCGTCAGCAGGCTCTACGTCTGGCGATAGTTTGCATTACATTAAAGGTGGTTCGTTCTCCTCATTGTGATTTTCGTGACTCAAAATGATAAAATTTAGACAAATTTCCACGTGGACACTTTGAATGCACAACTTCCTCCGTGGACAAAAAAACCTACGTAATAGCTATACTTTGGAGATGACAGCAAGGCATGACATTAGACTATAGAGACTAGATTCTACAGAGAAAGGTTTTTAAGGCTCAAAATATTTTAGGACGCTAATCGGAAACCCTCAAATTGATATGGCTTGAAGGAAGGCGTAGCAGTAAACCTAAAACCGTTTTCTCGTCTTGACGGCGTGTTACCGTGCACGCCATCCCCTCTAATGTATTAGGTCGTGAAGAAAGTTCTTGCGCTTTTCGGTGTTTCGTTTTTGAACGCTTTATTTTGTTACGAATTCAAGCAAGCTGCCAATGAGCTGTATGTGGTTTTGAAGAGCTTTTCTTGTTCTATCTAACAGCTAGGCTAGCTATGTTTCTTATCATTTAGTTGTCATTTTTTGAAGCCTTGAATACGGCATACTCCAAGAGCAAATTTGCATTTTCCTTTTTCTAGCTCAAAGCAGGCCAGTATGGAGAGGAAGCAGGTCAAGATATTATAGACGCACTTGGCTGAGATTCGCAATAAATATGGTCTGAAGCAATTGTTCAAAAAGCTTTTGTAAGAATAGCGAGAGCCCTAAAGATTGTGAGGGTGGTGATCGAAGATGTACGAACGCAACGCTAGTCGATTTCGTTTGTTTCGTGGTTTTTATTAGTCGAGCGTTCTGGTTGAAGCACGTTTGCACAAATCTATTGAGAGGGTTCCTCCTAAACTAATCGCACTTGCATTGTGTTTTCTTGTTGTACGGGAAGAGCTGGAAAGTCACAAAAACTCAAATAGGGCGTGCCGCGACAGCTCACCATTTTGAAGGGTCGTTCGCCGCGTTCTAGCTTGTTTCATGCCATGAAAACGACCTGACTTTTTGATCATTTGCGACGCACGACAAAGAACGGATTCTTTGCTACAGAATACGAACCTTTGGTGAAGTGATCGACCGCGATCAGGCTCTACAAACTTTGCAAAAGTGAAACTTCACTGAAGGAAGGTTGGTGACTTTCATAAGGTCAGCGGCTGGTCTAGCTTTTCGTAACCAGGTGGATCTGTTAATGTGGAAAAAGTACTCCTGATAATGTGTCAAACTACTCCTAGAACTCTGGCACATATATAATCTGCACGCAATTTCCTCACATTATAAAGGAACCGGCTCGTCCCTGAC